CTAATGCCGTTTCTACCTGCCATTTCAACAGACTATTTTCCCAATCAGGTTTCCCAATTTAAATTAGGAAATGTAAATATAAAGTATTTAAGAAGGAGGAAAGATACAATTTAATTATACATATGCAAACTTTATGACCAAAATTTAAGAATGTTATATAAAAACAAAAAAGTTTTCTCAGAGTTCTAACCAAAGTCCAATTAATTAATTTCATAGTACAATTGCTCAATTTGCTTTATTTTATAGAATAAACATATTTGAATGTTATAGAAACATCTTTAAAAAAATAAAGTCAATATATTAGAGTCTGAAAAGTGCCACAGTTACAACTTGCCAAATTAACAATTTCTGTCTTTCAAAATCCAAAACATGGACAATGGATATGAATGAATCAGTTGTTTTCAAGATGTTAGTCAGTAGGAAAAAAAGGATAGTGGTTCCTGAGACACAGGTAATAAAGTTAAGCCCTACAGTTGCCCCAGGTCACTATCTGGGGAGAGTTTCCAGGCAATGGTGCATAGTAGGTGCATCTCCTTGAGTTGAGGAGACAAATTAATCAACACGATGCCAATCAAAATCCTGGGTAGATTTTTTGTAGAAACTAAAAAAAAAAAAAAAGAAATCTAAAATTCATATGCAAATGTAAAGAACTTAGAGTAGTCAAAAAGAGTTAGCAAAGGAACAAGCTTGGAGGAATATCTGATTTCAAGACAATAGAAAACTAAAGTAACTAACCAAGGGTGGTATTGGCATTAGTACTGATAACAGATCAGTGTAACAAAATGGAAAGTACATAAATAGACCCACATATATATGAAAGACTGATTTTTGACAAAGGAGCAAAAGCAATTCAGTGGAGAAACAATAACCTTCTTAGCAGATGGTGATGGAAGAATTGCAAATCCATTCACACAACAAATGAACTTCAATCCATAACTCAGATCAGATACAAAAATTAACCTAGAATAGGTCACAGATTTAAACGTAAAACCAAATATTAAATAACTTTTAGAAGAAAATGTAGAAGAAAATCTTTATGACCTTGGATTAGGCAAAATATTTAGATACAGCACCAAGAACAAGATATATGAACATGTAAATTGTCTTGTCAAAATAAAAAACATTTGTCTTGTGAAAGACACTTATTAGGGAAGACAAGCTACAGGGAGAGAAATCTGTATCTAATAAAAGACTTCTATTCAGAATACCTAAAGAACTCTCAAAATTCAACAAAAAAGAAAACCAGCAACTCAGTTAAAATAATGGGCAAAAAATATTGAATGACACTTCACCAAAGAAGATATACGAATGGCAAATAAGCACATGAAGAAAAGCTCAGTATAATTTGTCATTAGGGAAATGCAAATTAAAATCCCAAGTAGATGTTACTATGTACCCAGAGTAGCAGCTAAAATGCAAAAGACTGACTCTATTGTACAACACAGGGAACTGTATTCAATATCCTATAATAATCTATAATGGAAAATATGTAACTGAATCAATGTTGAATACCTTAAACTAATATAATATTGTAAATCAACTATACTTCAGTAAAAAAAAAAAGACTGACCATACCAAGTGTTGTCAAGAAGCTAGGAAAAGTGGAACTCTCATACACTGCTGATTAGACTATAAAATGATACTTTGGAAAACAATTTGACAGCTTTAAAAAATGCTAGATATAAATCTACCATATAATTCGGCCACTCTCTGCCTAAATATTTATCCAAGGGAAACAAAAGCATATGTCCATTTTAATAATTTATATGAAGATTCATAGATGTATTTCTAATAATCAAACACTGGCAAATGCCCAAATGTTCATTAATAGGTGAATGGAGAAGAACAACAACAAAACTGTGGCATATGTAACAAAATACCAGTCAGGAATAAAAAGGAATAAACTGTTGTTACACACACCTAGAGAGCATATTGAAAAGAAGAGACATTACTTTGCCAACAAAGGTCTGTCTAGTCAAGGCTATAGTTTTTCCAGTGGTCATGTATGGATGTGAGAGTTGGACTGTAAAGAAAGCTGAGCGCCGAAGAATCGATGCTTTTGAACTGTGGTGTTGGAGAAGACACTTGAGAATCCCTTGGGCTGCAAGGAGATCCAACCAGTCCATCCTAAAGGAGATCAGTCCTGGGTGTTCATTGGAAGGACTGATGTTGAAGCTGAAACTCCAATACTTTGGCCACATGATGCATAGTGCTGACTCATTTGAAAAGACCCTGGTGCTGGGAAAGATTGAAGGCAGGAGGAGAAGGGGATGACAAAGGATGAGATGGTTGGATGGTATCACCGACTCAATGGACATGAGTTTGGGTAAACTCCAGGAGTTGGTGATGGATAGGGAGGCCTGGTGTGCTGCGGTCCATGGGGTCACAAGGAGTCAGACATGAGTGAGCGACTGAAATGAACTGAATGACATCAGTGAATCTCAAAGTAATTATGTTGAGTAAAAGAAATCAGACAAAAATGAGAGTACATAATATACAATCCAGTTATATAAAAGCCTAGAAAATGCAATTACTAGTGACAGAAAACAGATATGTGGTTGGGGATGGGGAGGGCGGTGTAGGGAGAGTCAGGAGAGAGGGGTTGCATTATCTTGCAGTGATGGTTTCATAGTGGTATATGCATATATCTCAAAACATATCAAATTACATACTTTGTGCATTTTTTTGTATCTCAATTATACTTCAACAAAGCTATGTTTAAAACATGACTTGACTTTAGGCGTGTAGAGCAAAATATAGGTTTGGGAACTGTAAAAAAATCATAGAACATCAAGATATTAACCATATTTGGTTCTACAATGTGACCTTATCTTTAACTGTGAAGTGAAATACTCTTGTTAACTGCCCAATCAGAAGTTCATGCAGCCCATAAGGAGGCTCTCCCCCTACACACAGAGCAAGTGCAATGAGTCATTTAAAGTAAGTTTCACCACTCCCCCCTGTTTCTCTTTCCTTATCTTGTGGGGAGAAGGTGGAAATATAAAACACAGATTTAATATAAGTCGGGATGCACAATGGGCTTCCCAGGTGACTCAGTAGTAAGGAATCTGCCTGTCCATGCAGGAGATGTGGGTTTAATACTTTGGCCGGGAAGATCCCCTGGAGAAGGAAATGGCAACCCACTCCAGTATTCTTGCCTGGGAAATCCCATGGACAGAGGAGCCTGGTGGGCTACAGTCCGTAGGGTCGCAGAGTCGGACACAACTATAGTAACAGCACGCTTGAATGAGCTGCTCCAGCAAAGCTTACAACATAACTAATTCTACATTATGTTCTTTTGCTAGAATCACCTGTTTCAACTTGCACATCCTCCTAGCTGTTTAGAGATAGCCAGAGGTAGCTTTTGTGGACATAAGTGTACCTGCAAAACTCTTTTCTCTTTAGCTAGTAGTTTCAGTGTTAAACTAGTTGTCAGAGTTTGGGCACGAATCAGTTGGACTGATTTAGGTATCTTGATGGGCTGTTATAGACGATGAAAGGGAGAAACTAGCTCAGTTTGATGAACTGGTATTACTAGAACAAGGCTTGAAATTTAGTGTACAAGTGTGTCCATGCATTTGGGATAGCAAACAAGCAATTTTTGACCTGATTTCCAGGATAAGGCTGGTTAAAGGGTAGTGGGGAATCTATAGATCACTGCTAGTTAAGCTCAATTGAAAAATCCTTTTAACTATTAAAAATTGGGGAATATTAGAAATAAAACACAACACAGAAATATGAACATTTTCAATAGATGAATTTCTATGCACATTTTCATAGAGTTGAGATCATGTGCATATATTATTTTGTCTTGTACTTGAACTTAAGATGCTCTGCGCATTTCCCTGTGTCATTTTTGAAATTATTTTTAATTAATGTCAAAAATATTCTATTGTAGTTATATTCTAATACAGTTAACTGCTTTATTACTGTTCAGTTCGGTTGCTCAGTTGTGTCTGACTCTTTGTGACTCCATGGACTGCAGCACACCAGGCTTCCTTGTCCATCACTAGCCCCAGGAGTTTACTCAAACTCATGTTCATCAAGTCGGTGATGCCATCCAACCATCTCATTCTCTGTCATCCCCTTCTCCTCCTGCCTTCAATCCTTCCCAGCATCAGAGTCTTTTCCAATGAGTCAGTTCTTTGCATCAGGTGGCCAAAGTATTGGAGTTTCAACTTCAGCATCAGTCCTTCAGTGAATATTCAGGACTGATTTCCTTTAGGATTGACTGGATTATTACCATAATACATAGGGTTTTGCTGTAAAAAATAATGCTGTTATGAACATTTGTGCATAAGTGTACTTTTTCACTTTAAGATTTTTTCTGTAAAATAAAATTATGAGATAAAGAGTTTATATATTTTTAAGGCTCTGGTTAAATTTTACCAAATGTTTGGTCAAAATGCTCTCCCAGCAGCAGTGTATGAGAACGGTCCAACTTGTGGCATCATTGTTAGTACTGAATGTTTCTTTAAAGGAAAAAAAGTCCTAGCTATTTTGATGGTAAAACAGTATCCTATTATAATTTTCTTCACATTTTAAAAATTACTAGTTATAGTTCCCCTTTCGTTTTCTCTTATCAACTTGTTTATGTCCTTTGCCTTTTCCCCCTTTTTCTACCACATTAATAAAATTGTTTTGTAAAGTCTCCATTGAAGCAGTAATAAAACACTCACTAGAGTTCATTTTATTGAATTGATTTAAATATTTTATTTAAGGAAATATTTTGAAGACTATAGTTCATTATTTATAGGAAAACTATAAAGCGTACATGTTTAAGTAGTGACATTATAGGAAATAGATTTCTCCAAATAACATAATTAGTTTTATAGTGCTACCAGTGGAATGCATCCTGCAGAAACATGGTTTTAACTTCAGATCTGAGCACACTGCCCTTATATCAAAAAAGAAAAAAGGATAATAAAAAAACCCACAACTTTGATTAAATTTTTAGTAGACCATATCTGATTTGTTGAAGAGCAAGTTCTTTTATTTACCTCTTCAAGGAAGTGCTTATTTTTTTCACCTCTTTCTGAGCATCTTTATCCTATAAAGAAAACACAAATACACAATAAAATTTCATACTTCACCCTGATACTCTAGGTACTTTGAAATAGACTTGTTGAACAAGGGGGTACTTTTTGAAAGACCATCACAAAGAAACTGTGCATGTCTTAGGACCAGTATGATTTGCATCTCTGAGAATGTAAGTGATACGGAGAGCTATTTCCAGGCTCTTTCTCCAGCTGGTCTGGGGTGGTGGATACAGGAAGCAGAGCCCCTTCTGCGTAAGCTGTCACACTGCATCCATCACCGTGTTAATGATAACATTGTTTTCCTCTTCAACTATAACATGTGGAAAAGGTCTGAGTCTTAGCCCCAGAATTTGACAACTCTGAGATTCCTCTGTAAGATCCAGACAAGATTCCATGGTAAGATCCAAACTACCTATTTTTTATCAGGTAATTTAAGATTTAAAATCATGTAATGTGTTTCATAGGACTCTATGTGTGTTATTATTTCCTTAAAACAAGTGTGGAAGTTATGAAGAGTGGAAATAAATTCAGATGGTAGGGTGCTCCCATGCATTTTTTGTGTTTAACAGACACCAACCACCTATCAGAAAGGGTTTAAGGAGTGTAACATATTTAAAGAAAACAGAGGAGGAAAAACTGGACAAAGTAGATTTTGGAAACAGTTGTTGGCTATATTTTTTTTTAAAAAACTGGAAGTTCTTCAATAGTTTTAATCATAAGCTTTAATACAGTGATTCTATTGCAGTGACTGTTAAACTAGAAGTCTACCTTCTATCAAATCAGCATTTTTGAAGACTGTGAGAAAATATGGCTAATGAATCTAGGTGAGTGATGCATTATTAAAAAGAACTTACAGAAAAGCCATAATTCAAGGTTAACTTTGTAATCCTAGGGCTAGCTCAGTGCCTGGCACCAAGAAAATTCTAGTGAAGTGAAGTCGCTCAGTCTTGTCTGACTCTGTGCGACTCCATGGACTGCAGCCTCCCAGGCTCCTCTGTCCATGGGATTTTCCAGGCAAGAGTACTGGAGTGGGTTGCCATTTCCTTCTCCAGAGGATCTTCCTGACTCAGGGATTGAACCTGGGTCTCCCACATTGCAGGCCGATGCTTTACCCTCTAAGCCACCAGGGAAGCTCATTTAGAAGATTCTAAGTAAGTGCCTATTAAATAGGCAGTTGACTACCAGAGCTCAGTAACAATTTCTCAAATCTAGGAACCAATTTCTTACAGACAAATGATGTAGATGAAAGAACTGTTTCAATTAAATGCCTTAAGAAATAAATATACTCAAACTACAATAAAAGGTTTAAAATTAAGACCATGGCTTAGCAATATCTGCCCTCTGGAGGCCTCACAAAGAATTCCTCTAATTCCTACCCAATCCAACTGCTAACACACTCACTCACACACACACACACACACACACACACACACCCCTTCTTTTTTTTAACCTCTTCCCAGGGCTTCCACCCCAGTCTTTAATTAATTTACTTTTTTGTGTGTGTGGATAGAGGACACTGGCAGGGCCTTTCAGCTAAAACAAACAAAAAAACAAAACAAAACCCCAGCTAAAACCACCACCTCCAGTCATGCTTTCCTGTCACTGCCTAAAATGCACCCCGTTCAGATCATTAATCCTCTTTGGTACTCACCCCAATACTGCTCTTCTATGCACTCTCTTTCCTGACTCAACCTCTCACTTCTTCCCCTTTTCCCAGACAGAGCTCCCTGGAACTCCTGTTAGAACACTTGCTTTGAGGTCATATTTGCATAACCAGCAATGTATTTGCTAGGAGAATATTTTTGAGGGGAGCTCAGGAAGAGAACGAGGGAGTGGTTAGGGCCAATGGTAGAGGGTAATTGCCCTCGATTGTTTCTCATATTTGTTAACAAACTCCTGATCACTCTCTTTTTATTTTACTTTTGATGACTTTGGCATCTTGGTCACTCTCTCCACATCGAGTTCTACCACCACTGTTGGAGACTTCACTGTTCCCATGGATTGTGTATCCCAGTCTTGCAGAAGGGTGCCTCTTCATATTTTCTTCCACTCCCCATGAGCACACCCTGGGATGTGTCAGACCTAAAACTGCTCCATCTCTGAGACAGGGATCTTGTTCTCTAAACACTGCTTATCCTTGAGGGTCATTTACCTATCCATCTCTTCTCTCTCTCAAGAATTCAACGTGTCAGCCATACCATACTTGCTGAAGCTGAAGTTCCAATACTTTGGCCACCTGATGCGAAGAGCCGACTCACTGAAAAAGACCCTGATGCTGGGAAAGACTGAGGGCAGAAGGAGAAGGGCATGATAGAGAACGAGATGGTTGGATGGCATCACCGACTCGATGGACATGAGTTTGAGCAAACTCTGGGAGATGGTGAAGGAAGGACAGGGAAGCCTGGTGACCATGGGCTAGCAAAGAGTCATACACGAATGAGTGACTGAAAAACAACAATACACTTGATAGAGTGCTTTTTCACATCATATTTATCAGTTCCAAGCCTTTGTTAGTTCTCTAGTATTTCATAAAATATGGTGTGTATACCACCCACATTGGTATCACCTGGGATGTTTGAATTACTTATAAAGTATGCATATTTGTCCATGTTTTCATTCACCCTTGCCAAGTAGGTATGTATTTCAACAATAGAGTAATGAGAACACATTTTTTATATGTTTCATTTTTCAGTCACATTAAAAGGTGTTGTCTGATTAAACAAAGTCTTTGTAAATATGTTTAGAGCTGTATAAAAAATGGAAACTGATTAACTAATTAACAGTGATGTAATAAAGGAAAACACTTCAATTACTCAGCATAATGTTTCATGACTTTTTAAAAATTTATTATTTATTTTTTGGCTGTGCTGGGTCTTCGTTGCTGCATAGGCTTTTCTCTAGTTGCAGGGAGTGGGGGCTACTTTCCAGTTGTGGTACATGGTCTTCTCATTGCAGTGGCCTCTCTTGTTGCGGAACTTGGGCTCTAGGGAGCAGGGACTTCAGTAGTTGAGGATTCAGGATTCAGGAGCACAGGCTCAGTAATTGTGGAGCACAGGATTAATTGTTCCATGGCATGTGAGATTTTCCCCAGCCAGGGATCAAACCCATGTCTCCTGCACTGGCAGGTGGATTCTTTACCACTGAGCCACCAGGGAAGCCCCATGTCATGATTTTTTAAAGACAAATACCCATGTATTAGATTTTTCATCAACAACTCTTATTAATCTCATTGTTTATTATGTCTCACCAAAACCTGTATTCAACATTTCTAAGAATGCATCATAGTTTTACATCTTTACATGGCATTATTTTCAGTAATACATTTGGCAAAAGTCTAATTATATGTTGAATTTCGTACTAAGGTTCCTGATAGGTTCCCCCCTTCCCAAGTATGAATTTTCTTAAGATCCAGATGAAGGCATTTGTACAATGACTTGAGGCCTGAGGAATTCTCAAGTGTAAGAACTTGAAGGCTGACTAAAGCATGATCACCTCATTCATAACACTGAGAGTGCCCGACACAGTGAAAATCTTCCCATGTCCTGGAGCGTTGCTTCATAAGTAATGGGTTTCCCATGTTTATTTCACTGAATTGCTTCTCCGGCATGAACTACCTTGTAGTTTCCAAGTGGCTTTCTCCTCCTGGTAAAGACTTGCTGCCTCCCTTCCTGCTTGGCTCTGAGTGTTCTGTAAGGCTTGAGTGTTGGCTGACGGCTGCAGGGTCTCCCCACTCTGTGAGCTCTCTGCTGTTCATAAAGGTTGGTGCTGAGACTGAAGATTCCTCCACATTCATTATAGCTCTAGGGTTCCTCTCCGGTGTATGTTGTTTCATGGTAGCTAACGTCAGAGCATCAACTAAAGGCTTTACCACATAGATGATAGATCAACTAAAGGCTTTACCACTCTGCAGTGTGAGTTCACTCATATCATTTCAAAGAAGAATTATTTTAGAGGCATTTCCGTAATGATCACGAAGGGTTTCTCTCTGGTGTGAGTTCTCTGGTATGAAAAAAAGGTAACTCTTTGGCCAAAGTGTTCCCCACATTTGTTACAGTTATAGGGTTTCTCTAATGTGACCTAACATGTGTTGTTATTGCTGAGCAGTGAGTGAATACTTCCCCATTCTCATTATGTTCAAAGAACTCCTTTCCAGTGTGAAATCTCTGCTATTGATGAGAGGTTGTTAAAGGTTTGCCCACATCCATTCATCAACTTATTCATTTACACATGAATTCTATGCTGATCATTCAGTGATAACTTTTAGTTAAAAGTCTTTGCCACGCTGGTTACATTCAAAAGGTGTGTTATTCTCCTGCAGGTACACATGTCTTCTCCTTTGGATCGAGGCATGTTCACTGCACAGCTATCTGATTAATTGTGAGGCCTTCATTATGCTTCAAGCACTTGATATTTGCCCATATTTATGCAAATGTCCTTTTATAAGAACCCAGGTTATTGTTTTGAGTTCAGGTTACTCCTTTCTTCCTCAAATTCAAACTATTTACTCTGACATTGGAGGTGAAAAATAGCTTTAAGGGACTAGATCTGATAGAATGCCTGAAGAACTATGGATGGAGGTTCCTGACATTGTACAGGAGACAGGGATCAAGGCCATCCCCAAGAAAAGAAATGCAAAAAAGGAAAATGGCAGTCTGAGGAGGCCTTACAAATAGCTGTGAAAAGAAGAGAAGCGAAAAGCAAAGGAGAAAAGGAAAGATATACCCATTTGAATGCAGAGTTCCAAAGAATAGCAAGGAGAGATAAGAAAGCCTTCAATGCAAAGAAATAGAGAAAAATAGAATGGAGAAGACTAGAGATCTCCTCAAGAAAATTAGAGATACCAAGGGAACATTTCATGCAAAGATGGGCTCAATAAAGGACAGAAATGGTATGGACTTAATAGAAGCAGAAGATATTAAGAAGAGGTGGCAAGAATACACAGAAGAACTATACAAAAAAGATCTTCATGACCCAGATAATCACACAATGTTTGTGATCACTCACCTAGAGC